TCTGAGCTTCCCGCTGTGATAGCGGGAGGCGAGGGCTGGCGACGAGAAAGACGACACAGTCAAAGCCTCCCGCTGTGATAGTGGGAGGCGAGGGCTGGCGACGACAAAGTAGGGCATTAGAAGTTTAGGTTTCCGTGTTCCGTGTTAAGGGTTCCGGGTCTAGGGCTCAGGGAACTGGGTTTGGTGTTTGAGGCTCAGGGTGCAAGATTGAAGGTTCAAGGCTCAGCATCTGGGGATTTTCAACGAGGACTTTCTTCGGATCCTCTCAAGTTGGGCGTTGGTTGATGTAAATCTATTCTTGAGTGATATCAACCTGCATCAGAGGGATCCTGCAGTTATCGCATACCTGATGATTGCGCAAGGCTTCAACCTTTTCAGCTTGAGCCCTCGAAGCCTGGCTACCCAAACACCCTCCCAGATCTAATAGCATGGCATATTTGAGGACATTGTCCTTCCTAAACGACGGCTCCAGAGTCCCCAAACACTGAGCCTGCACGATAAAATCGCAAGAAAAGCATTCATGGAGCTGCTGGGCCAAGTTTTTGAATATGAGCTGGATCATTGTTGCCTCAAGATCCTTGGAAAGCTGTGCTCAACTGTGCCGTATGCAAGCTTTGTAACACCTCAACAGACCCTTCAAAGAATCCTGCTGTTGACGTAGTCCCAGCCCGCACCCCTAGTGTTCCCGGTAACTTCGTGGAATCCAGTTGAAAGCTCGGAATACTTGCCAACCAAAAACATTGTGCGTGTGTCAAATATGAGGCCTCAAGCATGAGCGGCAGTCTGGAGCCTTCAAGTGCTCAGACATCTTCAGCTTCTAATCTTCAAATCCCAACATGTTGAAGTCATTTCACTGCAAATGGCCAGAACAATCCACAGTACACAGAGTACTTTCTAGGGCCCCACCCTTGAATTTTCAAAGTTTTCAACATGGGATCACGCGAAATGAGCTGCAAAGCGAGAGCCCGCAAGAGATACTTCGCTGAAGCCTACTCAAACGACTCTGGCATGCCGTGTTTGAACTTGAAGCTCTGCAATCAAGCACGATTCACAAGAACAGCTGGCTTTTTCCTCATAGCGCCAGAGGCCCGAATGTATGACCATGGAACCTGTATGTCCAACCACAAGGGGCTAGGAGGTTGACTGCTGCCGTCATGCGGGGTACGGCTTGGAGTTTCAGTGATTTTGATTCAGGACCGCTTACGGGCTTGCCCTCTCACTTCCATAGCCCATTCACCACCCCCTTTGAAGACTACAGTAAGTACTCAGATGACTATTAGGATAGGATTTGCTACTGCAACATTTGACTATTGCCATTGGCCGTCTATGCTGCTCACGTGTCCTTCAGGTTGCACTACACAAGCGGTGCACCCTTCCTATCTATAGCTCAGGTTGCTCTACAGCACGGCTTGCTTCCTGCTCCAAAGCTCAATTTGGGTAAGCAACTCTCCATTTTTTTGGACGGTAAGGGAAGGTAGCCAAGGTAGCCCTGCAGTGTATTCCCCTCCCCGAATATTACACCCCCCCGACTAATATTCAATACTCCAAATATATTATATTAGACCACATTATGGGGGTATTTAATATCAGGGGGTGGAGGGGTTGAATATTTGGGGCAGGGGATTAGTTGAGACCTCTCTTGGAGTATGATATAGGCAAGTTGTGCTCACAGATGCAGAGGAGAATCAGGGTTGGCACAAGGCACTTGCACGAGGATTCTACAGGTTATTCTGCGAAGCTTGTACGGTTGCAACGAAGTGTTGTCAGTTTGTGTTCAGGGGTAGGAAGTCCTGGGAATCATGCGAAGGCCATGCATGAGCTGTTAACGTGACTCCGCGATCCTGCTGATGGTGCTGCTGGCGGCGCTTGCGGTGGTAGCGTTGGCGGCAGTGGGGGTAGTGAAGGTGGAGGTGCAGGTAGTGGCAACTGCTGATGATGACGATGACGATGATGATGATAGCCGCCCTGGACCGCATCATCATGACGCCTGCGGTGATGGCGTGATGCTTATTCCTATACACTATTCCTATACACTGTCAAGTTGGCATCAGTTGCGTTCTGAAACTGTCAGTCGTGACTGAGGACAAGTACATGGACGTCGCTTTCAGTGAAGATCAACTCCTGCGGGTGCCACTGCTCCCAGAAGGCACAGAATTCCAGACAGAATGCATCTATCGACGCTCGGCGGCAGCGGTGGCGACCTTTTACAGATGACAGACAACACGAAGCGAAGAGATGCCGGATGTCAGCCCAGGCCTAAACTTCAGAATCACCCTCCCGGACTCTGCTAAAGGCTTACGACGTATCCAAAGCTTTTGAGTAAAGCGAACATAGGAATGGTGTGCGGAACCTTGTACAGCCTGCAGCAAGGAAAGGATTTCCATCATCTTCTTCAACCTTTCTTTAAGAACGAGGAAGCGGCAAAGTTCCGTCAAAAGGCTGGAGCAGCAGAAGGGATCCTCTACCATATGCCATATGCCAGCCCGGGACTAGGATTTAGAATTTCGGGTGTGGAGTTACAGGGAATACGTTGGGGTTCAGGGACGGGAATAAAGGGCTCGGGCTTGGGTCTCAGGTTTCTCGTTGTGGGTTTGAGGATCCTAAGTACTTCCTGAGCTCCATCGGCAGGTAGAAGACAAGATGTCTGCGATTGTGCTCAGCGGCATCTTCGACAAATGGTTTCAGAACGAGCTAGCCGGAATCTCAGACAATTGTGTTTCTCAAATGTTGCGTACTTTTTTTTGAGGTCCCTGGAATGAGCCTTCTACTAACTGGGGACAATATAGTGAAGCCCTGTACAGTAAAGGTTTGAGAAACATACCTCAGAGACGACCAGCGGCTTTTGAATGATCCCTTCTTCTTGGTCAAACCGTTGTTATCGTCAGCATGCGATTGTGGCCAGGAGTTATGATTGTTTGTGATTTCAAAAAGTATGTCAGCCCAAGCCTTGCAAGGGGGTTAGTAGGGAATAATGGAGGAACATCACTTTATGACATATTCCCTTATTTCCTACTCACCCCAAGCAAGAAGGGTGTTCTGGAACAACTCGTTGACATATGACTCCTACGCGTAGTCGCGAGCAGTCCCATGCAATTGCCAAGTGTTAGTTTCCCAAAATAGGGGGACCCTCAAGAGATACCCCTCATTCTGGGAAACCCCTAATCCCTATAACCTCCTATATGATCCCAGTGTCCATTTATTATCCACTTTTCCCCGGTTTTACATATTTCCGGTGTTATATGTCCCCTTACAACCCCCATGCACGTATCCCAGGCCATAGCCTCAGACCTTCGACTCTAGGCCTACATATGGGTTTCCCAAAATTATGCGGTACCTTTCTGGGGGTGCCCATAGTAAGGATTATAGTATATTTGGGTCCCCTGATTCAATCTTCCTTTGGGAAACTAGCACATAACAATCCTAGACCTCACGCTATCTCTATGCCCTTAGGGGCAGGTTCTGCCATTGCCGAGGTGAAGCTCAGCGTCGGTGAAAGTCAGTTTCAGTTGTATTGCTGCCTGCCTGGTTGTTGGCGTACGACGTGTACCTTATCCAAGGCAAACATGGACCACAGATAGGCAGCTACAAGCCTCATATGGGCCGCCCAACCGGCAACTACATATCCCACGCTGCAACAGAAGCCCTTTCAGCAGGATTTATTGAATTGAACTTCCTATCCTACACCCTGAGCCACAAAACGTACCCGATTCTACACTCGGTTCGGGAGGATGCACTGAACCCCAACCTCCAAGCCTTATACATGTGTGCTTACTTCACAGGGACTGGTTTTGAAGTTGCCTAGGTTCCCGGCGCTGCTAAGATGGCGGCGCAGCTGACGCCACTGGGCATGCCCATGGACGTTCGGGCGGATGAGGCGACCTCCTCGTCGAAAAACGAGGGACTGGAAGGATCAGGGCTTACAGGTTATGGGCGGGGGCTTGTAGGGAGCTATGTGTGGGGCTGTGCGAAAAGCAAAGTATGTTTTGAGGGGGATTGCTTTGCGGGAGTTTGAAAGGGGGGTATAGCGGATTGAGTTTTTGGGGCGACCTTCTTGACCTGGGAGTTGCCCCATTTTGATGTCTTTTCATAACTTACAGAGCTGATCTCGGGAAAAATGGGACATGAGTGTGCTCTGAACAATTTGTTGGTTCGATGGGGAGGCTTCAGCACCAGCACCCTTGTATGTTGGGGATGTTCTGGGTCCCAATCTCGGGAAGCAGTTCGCCATCCTGCTGCTGCTACTGATCGAGAACTCCTGCACGTATTTATTGTTTTACACATGTTCCCGGCCCTCGGTCATGTCTCTGTCGGACTATCGCATTGCTGCTAGTTTGTGTTGCCAATGAACAATTAGATGCCACAAAAGCTTACCGATGCTTACAGTAAGAGCCACAGGTCTAGCACCCGTCTTCCTGAAGCGTGCAGATACTCGTGTCTCATCCCCACATTCTCTCGTTGGGTCGTGGTGGGGGCAGCGGAGCGATTGTCAACCAGTCCATGGTTATCATTACCGTGTTGGGACAGATCCATCCGGGCGCATGTTCAATTGAGGCACCCTGAATGTGCAGCACAGACACCATGCAGAGGGTAATACACCTTGCACCATGAATCGTAGGGCTTGAGGCAGGAAGAAAACGACTCAGTGCTGAATTCGTGTCATGCATGGTCTTGCTAACAGCTATGTTCTCTTGTGAAAAGCTGCAAATATGTTGGTTGCTATGTTCGCTCAGTCTCGGCCATTTGTAACCAAAAGCCCCCACCCCCCCACCTGAAGACCTACAACCTCCTGGCCAAACCCTCTTATTTTACCGTCTCCAGGCACCAGCGGAGCCCCTCAGCTTAGCTGGGGGCTATTCGTATTCAGGGCTGATGGCCAGGGTGTCTGGCATATTGGATTTTCCCTGGATTCCTGTGTAATTCTGGCCCCCCACCTGGGGCTCCACCTTGGGATTGCAACTTTGCAAGATCCCATTCACTTTATCCCTGGCTGTAGTGCTTGCCTCACGGGTCAAGCCTGTTCCTGGAACTCTTGTCACACGAAGAAGGAGGGGTAGTGGTGGCGACGCTTGCTTTATCATTGTGATTAATGGCATGACTTTTCGTAGCAGTATAGTAGGAGTAGGAGTAGCAGTAGCCGTAAGAATAGCAGTAGTCGAAGTTGCAGTAGTAGTTGTGTCTAAGGCTCAGGAGCATTGTTTCCTGCGCTTGTCTGAGACTCTCACTCTAGATTGAAGCGTCCTACTCCGATTGCCCTTCAGAACTCCGTAAGCTAACCAGTCATATGCTGTCTAGGTCTTGTTGGGGTTGAATACTGAGCCCCAAAACTGAAGAAACATGTCGCCTTGCAGGGAGGCATCTCTCTCAGCCTGATGTCCTAAACTTTGTCATCACATGACTTCGTGTTCAGGCTCTGGAAAGGGGGCCCACGCTATCTTGCCTTTCATCATCCCAAAGCTTCGTAAAACAAAGCACAGAACCCTCTAGATACCGCTTATACCCTACATGCTTCTTCATCCCCAACCTCCTTTTCGGTCAAGAAGGTATGCGGAAGTCCTGCGATTACTCCGTGAAGCCGAAGAGAGCGGAAAGTGGCCTCCCTGCTCCAAGGCAGGGATTCTTTGCTTCAGTGCCGAGGGCTGGATATGTCTGGTGTTTAGTGATTAGTATTTGAAGTACTGTATAGGGACTTTACACGGAGTCATATCCCGTAATTATGGCTGTCAAGGGAAGATGGAAGGTTGCCGTCCGATAAACTCTTCTGCAAATGATGTGTCCGCTTTGATGTTGGAAATCCTTTGGGGCTTTCGTGGTGGAACATGCAGGAGCTAGTTTTGTTTCCACATGCTAAGCTTTCCAAATTTCCCAAAGCTGCAGGTGTGCGAACAAGGAGTGTGCCAGCACAAGACACGTATTTCGATTTCTTTGACCCGAGCGCAGGGCAGGGAGAAGGTCATCAAGGACTCCACCTTGACAGAGCATGGAGGCTCGCAGGGAGATATTGAGACAAACCCTGAAAATAGTCCAGGGTGTCTGCTGCAGTGAAAACGTAAAGGGCTTTTGAGACTGATTATGTGACAACTCTAAATCGTAGTGAGTGGTAGGATTGTACTGTGTCAACTAAGGTTTCCAACTGAAGCTTCCAACCCCTGCAGGCTACCAGACCTTACTTCGGCATGAACATTAGTACCTGTTCGTGGTTGACCCTGCCTTTCAAACCCTAAGCTCGACTATACACTTGGAACCAACGCCTAAAATCTCTACGCTCCAAATAGTGCACAACCTCGATTCGTACAATTTCAAGCCTGAGCCCACCTGAGGTGCTGGTGGCTCATTCAGCGTCGGTTCCATGCCGGATGGTTTCGATGTGCCACCCTCAGAAGTGGCGAAGCTTCAACATCCGGTCATCCTCTGAGAAGTGAGAAGAGCTGATGCCAGAATCTGGATTCATGACGATAAGGATTGCAATCAGACTGCCCAAGTGTTGCACTTGAGTACCATACGGTCATATTCACGGCTTGAAGCCGTGTGAAGAACCCTGTAGGAACATACAGTAAACCCACACAGCCCGCGGAAGCCCGACCAGCTGAAACCTGAAAGCAACTTAGCTTGCACCTGCCTTCCACCGCTCATGCCACTGGTACAGAGATAGTAATGTTTCAACTCTTTGGCTGAAACATTCTGTTTGTAGGATACAGTAGCAACAGCCCTGCACAACCCTGGCTGTGCGCATGCTGAGGCTCCTAACGGCAACCGGCTCTTCCCCGAGCTGGCCCGCTGTGCCTTCAAGCTGGAGAGCTGCACTGATTTTTTTGGTCAATGATTTCTTCCCCTAGGTAAGCACAGAACCTCAAGAATCAGGCCCCTACACCACTTTGCAAAGGATTTCTTTTCAGCTCCCATCTTCGTGTGGGAGGCTGACCCCCACATTAGTCCTTCACAATCCCCACCAGACCTTGTATGCTGTGTCAGCCCGTGTATGTTCCTTGTCTAAGCCTTCGCATAGCCCACCTCGTAATGTCCGCCGCAGGAGCGCGCGCTCCGGCCAGAGCGCAGAAGCAGTACCATTGCCTTGGCCTTACCCCAGGCTCCTAGGTAGGAGATACCTGCACTGTAAGCAGGTAAAGAACCTCCTTGCTCAGGCCAGGCCGCACCGTAGGCTTGACAAGGGTTTCAGGTTTGGAGTATTCAGATTTATGGAGTTTTTTCAGGCATGGAGCGATGACTTGCATATTCCTTATATGGTTTCGTAGTGACAGATGCACAGAAAGGCAAGAGAATAAAAACAGCAAGCAGCAAGCGCTAGAAACTGTTATGTGGTGTCACCGAACCAACCATAGCCAGCAGAGTCATGCGCATAATCATCAGCATAAACTGGGGGGCTTAGGGAGAATCATGGTTGAAGTCACGAAAGCGAGTCCTGTGTGGACTCAGCTGGAGTGTGGTGGAGCAGTTGCGGCGATGGTTGCATTGCATGCCTGCACTTCATGCCAGCATGGACTTTCACTCAGTTGTCGCAGGGCCTTTGGGCTGTTCCTAGACCCTCCGAAACGCCTAACATTTCTGCTTTTTGGTGAGAAACAGTTTTTCGCTGTCCGACGACCAAAATTTTCGTTCTCGCGCGCTTTTTCAGAAAATTGCACAAAGCACCGGCAATCACATGGGACGCTTTTTGCCGGCCAAAACGCGCTTTTTCCCGGCCCAAATGCGCTGGTTATCGAGAAGCATTGCGAGCGCACATTTTTGACAGAAAAAATGTTTTTATGGACAGCAACTAAAATTTGTGTTTTTCAAGCGATGACTGTTATTTTAGTTCCCGGAGCTTCCAGGTTTGGGCTCTAACAGCAAGCAGAACGATCAGCTTGGTAATTCCGCCTTAAGCGTGAACGCTGCACGCTCAAGTCTAGGCTCCGGCTGCCTCCCGGGCTCAGAGCTGTACGTCATTCCTGGTGGGGGTTCTGGAGTCTAGGGTGTAGGTTTTGGGTAGGTTTGATGGACGTAGTCGGGTGCTGTCGATTTCGGTTCCTTGCGAGGCATGGGAGCCGCTTGCTTTGCAGCGCAGTCTCGACTCAAGATGAGGCGCGCGGCCATATTTGGACGCAGGGTGCAGCTGAATTCTTCGAGTGGGTTTGGATACACGTCGTAGGCCACCATCAAGGTTCACGACCAGTGACTGAACAGAGCTGAGAGGAAAGAGAAGCGAAAGAGAAAGAGAGAGAGTGCGCTTGTGTCGCCGTAAGAGTTGTCAGATTGACTTCGGCACGCCAGCTGCAGCGCTGCAGCTTCTGAATCAGGTTGGGCCAAGGGCGCAGCACACAAAGGCAGCCACATCGAGCAGTATACGCTTTTGTGCTTATCGCAGGGTAGCCTGGCTGCGACGGGCATCCGCGCCTTCGAAGGAACAGGGGCTGTTGCGGAGTTCTCTTGTCGATCGACTTGAGACCTTCTATGCTTGGCCAGGGGATCTGTTAAGATTCCAATGTGATCACGACAGATGTTGCGCCAAACGTGCAAAACACACGCACGAGGAGGCTTGCTTGGCATGGCATGTTTCGAACATGACGGCTAGATACGTTGAGCTTTCATTGTCGACAGGCCTCCCAAATCAGTGCCAGAGTCCGGCGGAGGTGGTAAGAGCGGCATCAAGGCTTTCTTCTGCAGCCATGTCCAGAGTGAAATCCCGAGCATCGCACATGTGGTGATTTGCGTTAGGTTGATTTCATCGTTGGAACAGATGGGAGCCGCGCCTTGTGGCCCAGGTCCGATGCATTGGAGGACATCGACCGTGAGTTTCCCTCCGTCGAGAGTGCGAACTTGACACTTTGCAGCTCTGTTTTCTTCGCGAGATTGAAGCGCCACACTCGCTGGCAAGGTCAGACATCATCTGCACCAGCATCCCGCTGCTGTTCTGGCAGCGAGCTGCTTATTCACTTGTGTGAGCTTATGCAGTCTTAGCTGTCAACTTGAATATTGAAACAGCCGGGGAAAGTTGCAATCCAGCAAAACATGAATGCCGGAGCCTCAGAAAAAGATCTGAAGATGTTCAAGCGCTGGCATCACATATTTGGGAATACAGTAATGGACCCCGACAGTCGTAGAGTAGAATTATATCGCTTTCGCGATGCTAGACTCTAAAATCATCCCTTATAAAGTCAGCTTTCGGCATGTGGGGCAGCCTTTCCTACGAACGCTTTCAGAAATGTGGTGTTGGTCATGTGTCTGGACGATAGAGACGGCGACAAATGCGACGACAAAGAAGGGGACGGCGACGACGACGAGACGGAGAAGGAGGAGGAAGGGGAGAAAGAGGAGGAAGAGCAAGACGAGCAGGAGGAGGACAACGAGGAGTTCGTGGAGGAGGAGGAGGAGGAGACAAGGAGGACGAGGATAGTGAAGATGACAGCGATGATGGGTGATGATGGGTGATGATGGGTGCTGGTGATGGTAATGATGACGATGGTGATGATGGTGGCGGTGTTGCTTATCGCAGCCAGCGGTGTAGCGGTAACTTGCTATGTCGGTGCTTCCCTAGAGCTTGCGCGTGCTCTCCGGCTCGGCTGAGGTTGCTTCTTGAGACTCCGGGCAGAGACGATGCCCGAGGTGTTGTACGTCACGAGGTTTGGAACTCACTACGCAGCGTCGCTTAACGACGCTGGGTGTACTGTGGCACCCCCGTTTAGTATAGGGCCTCCCCCTTTGAACAGCTGACGACTCCCTTTAATCGCGGTCGCCCCCCCAAAAATGCAACGCAATTAAAATCGAGAGAAAAAAAAAGGAGGGATTTCGGTCGTAGCCTTGAAGCTGGTATTCTGCTTCATACTAGTGTTCGTTTTCCAATCTAATTAAACCCCTATTACACCCAATGGAAACCTATTCAAAACTGATAACAGTCTAATTTCGTGCAGCTAAAATCTAAATTAAACAATTAAACCGATTGAGCTCATTTATTCTTTCAGGCCTTGGGCCTATGGGTTTCTTGAATTTAACTAAGTTTATTCAAGATTTCACGGGTTCATAGCTCTGCTAGTATCTCGCTTTCGCGAACTCATAGCTTTGCTCGTATCTGGCTTTGCAGCTGAAAACTTTGGGCTTGTTAAACTCGTACAAATCCTTTTTGAGTTGTTGTGGAAATTCTGGGCGGCTGGCGGAGTTGATTATTATTCCGAACCCCCAAAACACTCCTTATTCAGGATCCGGGGCTTTACTCGACTACCCCCCCACAGAAAGTGACGGACCTTATGATTTCTAATCATCCCGAAAAATCGGTTTATATGGATCTGGTTGCTCTGAGTTTACTGGTTTTCGGATTTTCTAACATCAGGCCTGATAGGTAAAATCTCTGGTGTCAGGTCTCTGGAATTAAAGTCCTCTAAGACTCCGAAGGCAAACCTGACGTAGGTAAGAAATTTTCATCTTTTTGGATATTTTGGTTCCGAAAAATGTTACTATGCCGAACCCCCCCAAACAACAGCAGATCGTAAACATTTTTTCTCCCGAAGCTTGAGTATTCCGAACCCGCATACTGAAGGGGGTGCGACATTATGCCCCAACTCTGAAAGGAGTTGGCCCTCTTACGTCCCGATCCACCGAACATTCTATGGCAAAACTAAATTCCAGCTGAGTCCACACAGGACTCGTTTTCGTGACGGTCAACAGTATCAAACGTTGGAAAGCTAGACCAAAATAAAAGCCCCCAAGTCCCTGTAGACCAAGGTGTCAAATGATCTATGAGCTTCCTAGGTCGATCCATTGTCAAGCTCCAGCATGATTTCCCTGGACGCTTTCTTACACTGCAAACTGTAAGCTCTTCGGGCCGAGGCCATCAACAAGAGAGCCCAGTTCGTGCCGCACCTGGACTCAGGGGCTGGCGCAGGCATCCGGGCTCCAACTTCAACCCAAGTGGAGTGATAGGGCAGTAGAACAGACGCATAAAGATTCAGTGATGATTTTTTGGGCTGCCAAGTCGGCCTTCTTTCCAGGCTATTCTTTCCGCACCAACCCCCCATTTTCTTGATACATTTAAAGTGGACCGCAGATTGGGGTGAGTATAATGTTATTCGATGACAGGAGCTGACAGAACAGTGGTTTCAAGATGTGTTTGAAAACATGAGCATGTGTCGGGGAGTTTGTTGTTTAGCAGCCAAAGATCAGGCTGGAAGGATGTGGGCTGAGGGTGAAGGATGGAATTCGGGAAGTACCAACGGCCACTGCATTTTTTACATTCGTTGCAGAGCTCTGTCGTGAACCCGATTTTGTTTCAACTCACCCCGATCACGGCAATTGCCCCTGCCTGCCACAAGCAAAGAGCTATGTGTTCTAAAGCTTCAACCCAAATCACCGGACCTGTTACTCCAAAGCACGATCCAG